TAGTGTTCTCTCTCTCTCTCTCTCTCTCTCTCTCTCTCTTTCTCTCTCTCTCTCTCTCTCTCTTTCTTTTTTTTTCTGGGTCTTCATTACGGAGAAATGGTTTTTTCTTTTTTTTGGTTCATAGAGTTTTGCAAATGGTTTTTTTTTTGTTTTTTTGTTTTTTTAAATAGAGAAAGTGGGTTTGATTCATGAAGTTGAAGAAGAAGAAGAAGAAGAGATTCATCAAACCCAGCAAGAAAAAAAAAAAAACCAGTTTCAGAGAAGGAAAAAAAAATCAAAATCAAAATCAGAAAAAAAAAAAATCCCACAGCCATAGCCACAAATCATTCACCAATCGCTGGGACTTTCATCGTTCAACGAGGTTCCAATCATCTCAAATCTCTGTTTTTCTTTGTCAAAAAATGGATGAGTTCACACAAAATCAAACCCAAATCAGAGAGAGGGATGAGAGGTGAGAGTGCTGAGAGTGTTTGAATAGAGATAGAGAGGAGAGGAGACAGAGAGGAGAGGGAAGGAAGAGAGAAGAGAGAAAATGTTTGGGTCACTCGAGCCAAAAAGTTTTGAGCTACGAAACTTTTTTTATTTTTATTTTTGTTATTTTATGTTTTAAAAACGATTGTGCATATCAAATAAGTTTTATTTTTGTTTTTAGTTTTTGTAAAATAAAAAATAAAAAACTAATAACATTATAAAAAATGCTAACCTAGAAGTGTTGTCATAAAAGCTATATTATGTAACACTTTGTTTGATGGAAGTGGTGGTGGTGATAGCGACCATAGTGATATTGGTGGTGTGGCAGTGGAGGTGAGATGGCGGCGGTAATATGACATTAATAAGACTTTAATTCATAAAACGATTTTTATCTTTTAAAAGAAAAAAAATTATTTTTCAATCAAAACAAACTAAAATGCAAAAAATATTTATCTTCACCAGAAATGGAGCATGATGGTTTGATTGGACCTGCCAAGTGTATTAATTTGGTGCTAATTTGATCTCAATAAAGCTATGCAGAATCAATTGATAAGAGGTCAACCATTGGGTGAATTGTTCAAACAATTCCAATCAACTCCTCTTGTGGTAGGAGTGCAACTCGGGCGGGCTTGGCAAGCCCAACTTAATAGCCAAGCCACAAAAGCAAAGGCTTTAGGCCCAAATTGTGAAGAAGGCCTCTAAATTTAAAGAAATTACAATTATATATGTGTATTTTTTAAAAGGTTTATTTTCAACTATTATAATAAAAAGATCTCAACCCATGAATATAATCCATGTTATACATGTTGTGAAAAAAAGAGAAAAAAAAGAGAAAAGTTCTCTACCCATTTGTTATGTGTTTGTATAAAGTACCCATTCTATTTTTTTGGAAGGTTCAGATTGAAAAGAAATTACACAAATTTAAAATTATTCAATATGTTAATTTAAAAAGAGCTATTTTGAAAAACGCCTCCATCAATTTAAAATATGTTTTACAAGTTTATTTTCAATTTTCACATTTTTTTTCTTGACATGATCTTCACTTTGAATTTATAAATTATATTTATTTGATAGTTTGTACTTTTGAATTCTTTTCATTTCATAACCCTCGTAAAGGCTTTAAATAACTCCCAAAATTTGTATTGCAAAATATTTAAATATAAAAAATCCTCTAATTGAAATTTTGCTTTAGCCCTCATCGAAGGTTGGGCCGGCCTTGAGACTCAGTCGGGTTAGGAGGTTATCTAAGCCAAACTCAAGTTGTGTTGAGACTTGTCTAGGTCCACCCAAGTCTAAATTGTAACCTGAGGTTGTCTACCTAAGCCCAACCCGAGTTAAGCCCGAGTTGCTCAATTGTACAAAAATTTTAAAAATAAAAAAAAATTTGCAGCTTATTAATTTATTAAAATTAAACCCTATTTACATTTTTTTAAGAAAATTATTTATAATATCAAAACAAATAATTTATATAATGTAAGAGAGATATCGCTATAGTAGTCTTTACAATTTAGGAGTGAAAATAAAAAATGTAAACTCGATCAGGTTTTATCTGTTTACGTACTGTAAGTTTTATCACGTTATTATGTTGATATATTTGAGTTTTTGGGTTTACCCAAAAATCGTTTGCATATTTTTAAATTATATTTTCCATATAGTTTGGTACTAATTTTTCTAACAGGCATTAAGAGGGATGGGTGACTTGACATGTGTGTGCAGCTTGTTGGGGGCCATCAGTGAGAACAGCTTCATATAATGCACTTTTCAAGGGTTGTCTGTTTCAAGTAATATTTCCACAATGTAGGACAATGACAAAGTTCAAAGTAGGGGTGGATAAGTATCCATTAGATTCTTCAAAATCGATTGGCTGGAATCAATCTATTATAAAATAGACAATTTTAATGATCAAAGTAGATAGATACGATTGTAATTTTTTCAATTTATTTAAATAGGGATCAAATCAGGATTTTATCATCAGAGGAATCAAAAGACGAATAAATTGTTTCACCATATATACAAGCATACATTTATATATAATATGATATATAAATTATATATACATAGAAAAAAATATTAAATACCATAGAAACAATCTCTAGTAGAAAGAAGAAGTTTTTTTTTTTTTAGTACAAAATAGAAAGAGAACACAAAATGAGATAAAAATGATATATATATATATATATGTATGTATCTTTGGGAAAATTAGTGAAATATCATTCTCAAACTTTGTGTAGTAGAAGAGGTTCAAGATATATTTTTTTTATTAGATAAAGTCTCTCAACATTTTTACAAAAAATTTGACTTGGAGAAATTTTGTCCGATTCAAAGAAATTTCACCAAACTCAGAGAAATTTTGGTCCTAACTCAGAGAAATTTCGAAATTTCTCTGGTATGATCACAGAGAAAGAAATTTCACCCAACTTAGAGAAATTTTATTTCTCTAAGTATAATCACAGAGAAATTTTGAATTTTTCTCTGTGAAATCAAAGAAATTTCTTCGTGAAAATTGAAATTTTTCTGAGTCAGGCAAAATTTCTCTAAGTCTATCTCTGTAGAAATGTTGAGGGACTTTAACAAATGTGAAAATATTATGTCATTTATCTTATAAAATCTTAATATCAGGGACTTGAAAAAAATTTCCCCTATATCTTTTATGCTTGCGACATGTTATATATAAAATGATATATACATATATATATTTTAAATGTTATGAAAAATAGTATTTTTCACAAAAATAAGAGGGGCCATGACACCCTATAGTGTTCTCCTAGTTCCATCGCCACGTATAATTTTGGACGGATAGCGGATGAGAGGCCACTGAACCCAACCTAACCTGCTGATACTCTTAAGAAAATGAAGGTATGTTTTGTGTGTTAAAAAAAGACCTTTTATTTACTATTTATGAAATATAAAAGTTAAGTCTTTATTTTTATTATAAAAAATGGACAATAAAAAATTTTGGACATAAAATAGTAAAAAATTACTGAAAAATAGTTTAAAAAAAGCCCAAGACAGTAAAATTCAAACCGCCAAATCAATCCGTATTCACCTGTATGGTTCGCTTAATTTGCATCCGCTAACTGTAAAGACCCGCACGGCCCTCTCAATCAACATTCACTAATAAAGAAGACAGATGCCAATTGATTTTTTCAATCTGCTTAAATTTAAACGAATGACAGTTGAAAGGCCATCCGACTCAACCCAATCTACGAGAACGATAGTTCAAAATATATCTTCTCATTATAATTGGATTCATTACATCCAAAATTTGAACAGAGAAGCGACAAGCTTTAAGAGAATAACATTTGGAGAAAAAATAAAATCCTTTACCAAAAATTCATGTGTTTGGGTCCTACTGCTTCATAGTTGATGTCATTTTTTTTTATATTTTTGAAATTTTGGAACTACAAGTCCAAATTTTATTTATTTTTTCGATTTACCCTTGTGTGATCAAATCATGATGTTCGTGGCAACCTTAAAACCTAAAACCTGGAACCCTAGAGTTGTAGATTCGAAAAGAGATTGGATTTGGAATATTTAATTAGACGGTCCAAGTCGGCCCATTATAGATCCTTTTGATGATCCAAACAGTTTAACTTAAATTTAATTATTTTATATTGAGACATAAAATGAATTTCAACCATTTTTAAAAAAAATTCTGCAGTTTTTTTGGGGTAAATTTTATGGGTACCTAACAAGATTACAAAAAACTTTGATTGTTTTGCTCGTGTTGAAAATTTGATCTTTGGGACGCTGGGTATAATCGAAAGATAAAGTCAAAAGTACCCCTCTATCAATTTTTAGACAATTAGTTATATTTAGCGTATTTAAATTATTTTTGTCTAATAAATTATAAATAAAAGTTGCACTATTTGCACAAATTCCCTAGATAAAATAAAAATAAAAATTATAAGCAGCTTTACCAAACAGCCCGTTATGTGGTGGCCTAGTGTTGGAATGCTTGGAGTTGGAGCACGAGGGAGGACTGGGCATCAAATTTGTGCCATGCCTACCATCTGTTTTGTAAAATGTTTATATGTAGAGGTCAGTATGTTGATTGCTTTGGTGTAGTTTTTGGGATTTTTGCATGTGTTGTCGGGTGTTTTGTGGGGTTGCGGTGTGGTGCATATGATTGTTGTTATATTCTGCTTCATTTTCTTCTAATACAAGTTGTTTCTTTGCTGATCAAATAGAACAAAAAAAAAAGAAAGAAAAAGAAAGAAACACTGGTTTGTGTAATTTATAACTACTCCTATGTCATTTGTGCTTGTTATGAACATTAGACAGCATTAATCTCTACATGTGGAAATCCTGGTTGTTGATTTGATGCAATGACTAAGATGTGAATATAGTCCAAATTAGCATTAAATTACTTCAATTCCAAGTCTTTTTGATTGGCTTCCTAGTCCAAATGAAAGGTACTAGGTTAGTAACCGTAGAAAGTCCAACTGAAGTCTTACCGTGCTGTAAGATTTCCTGAGTTTTCATTTATAAAAACAGATGAATTTCATGAATTAGACATTAGACTATCAATGGAAGGCCTCAAAACACCTTTCTTGTTTTCCTCTTTTTTTTCCATTTTAACAATCTCCAACGCAGTAGACACCATAACCAAAACCCAATCCATTACAGGCCGCAATACCATTGTTTCATCTGGTGGAAGCTTTGAGATGGGTTTTTTCAGCCCTGGCAATTCCCAGAATACATGCTTGGGAATATGGTACAAGAAAATTTCTGTTAGGACCGTTGTATGGGTTGCCAATAGAGAAATTCCACTTGTCAATTTCTCAGGCATCTTAACAGTACTTGACCCTGGAATTCTTTCCCTTGTCAATGGTACTAACAGTCTCATTTGGTCACCCAATGTAACAGGATCCACACAGGACCCTGTTGCACAACTTATGGAGTCAGGAAATCTTGTTGTGAAAGATGCAAATGATAATATTTTGTGGGAAAGCTTTGATTATCCATGTGATACTCCTTTACCAGGCATGAAGCTTGGCAAGAACTTTGTAATGGGCCTTGAGCGTCACCTCTCTTCCTGGAAGAGCAGCGATAATCCAGCTCAACGTGAGTTTACATGCCGCTGTGATCCTTAAGGATACCCACAAAACATTCTGAGTAATGGTCGGTTGAGCTGTTCAGAACTGGGCCATGGAATGGTCTCGGATTCAGTGGGATTCCAAACCTTAATCCAAACTCCATCTACACATATGGACTGGTTTATACGAATTATATTTATATTTATGAACTCATCAGTTCAGTTGTTTCAAGGTTTACCGTTACACTTGTAAAACCAGACCAGAACCAAACCGAAAAAACGGTTCGATTTCAGTTTGGTTTGCGGTTCCAAAAATTTTTATTTACAAGAATAAATTGTTAATATTAGCAAAATAATTACTCAAACTAATTACATTTAACTCTTGAAAAAAACTAATAATATTAAGGCATTACTTAATATTACATATGTATACCATCCTAATATCATTAAAATTATAAAAAAACCAATTAATAAAAATAAAACTTAATATTATATATTATATATATATATGTTTTAAAATTCGGTTCGGTTCGGTTCGTGTTCGGAGGACACCATTGGATTGCCATAACGGAGATGGGTTTCTCAAGTATTCGCAATATAAGATGCCAGACACACAGAACTCCTCGTTTGACCAGAGCATGAGCCTGTGGGAATGTGAGATAATGTGCTTGGAAAACTGCTCTTGTATGGCTTACGCAAGTTTAGATATAACAGTCGGTGGACGTGGTTGCTTGTTTTGGTTTGAGAAGCTGATTGATATGAAAGAGTACAGTGAAAATGGGCAAGATATTTACATAAGGATGGCTTCCTTTGAGTTGGCTAAGAATTCATACCAAACACAAATTAATTAGATAATTATATTATACATATGTAAGAATCATAGTTAAATATGTTGAACACTTACATTTCTTCCTCAAAAAATTCCTCTATGCTACATTTCTACTTCTAACTACAATTTAGCAAAGAGAAGTGTCCATTTTGGTTTTTGTCTTGGACTTTGATTTCTGTTGTCAGTGTGTCTTGAATTCAATCCGAATGATGCTTGTTACCCATCCTCGACCTGCATGGATCGATCCTATAGGTCCAACTTCCTATTTGTATTTGTACCTATTTTGATGTGATTGGATGATTTCGAGGTTCTAGGATTATCTTGTGAACTTCTGTAAATAGGTTGTTGAGAGAGAGAGAGACTTTACATTGAATGTAAAACTCTTCCTTCATTTTTCGCCCGTAGACATAGGCTTATAGATGAACTACGTAAATCCTTGTGTGGTTATGTTTTTGTTCTGTTTCAACTATTCTCATCACCTTTCCCATAACAACTTCAACATATATGAAATGTTCAAAGGTTTGGAATCTAAAGTCTAGCTTCATGGGCAAAAAAAAAAAAAAATTCATTTAAGTTTGTTCTTTCATGGTTGTATTATCTGACTGACTTGATCATTTCTGTTAATGGATTGAGGATTCAACAGTCCAACAAGCTAGCATCAAAGGCAAGAAAAGGGAGATAGTGGCAGTGACATTGGCATTGTTAATTGGGCTCCTTCTGATAGGCATGAGCGTAAGCTTGTATCTCCCAAAAAAAGAAGAGGAAGAATTCACAGCTGAACAAAAAAGGTATATATGCGCTGTGTCATTTTGTGGTAAAGTCTGTAATGGTATGTTATTAGTTGGAACTAGTTTTCTCATTGTGCTTACATCCATTTCATCCCCGCTTTGCAGGAAATTTGATGAACAACCTTGAAAAAGGTTGCACTGACAAAAGCCAGACAGAAGATTTAGAGTTACCATTGTTTGACTTAGCTGTAATAGCTAATTCCACTAGTAACTTTTCAATCAACAATAAGCTTGGAGAGGGTGGATTCGGACGTGTTTACAAGGTAACCATGTAAAGACACTCTTATGTAGTCATCCTATGTAGAAGCCATAAAACCATTCAAATTTTTTATCACTGCTTTTCTGTAAGGCTACAAACACTTTTTTTTCACGAAAGGGTGCATAGAATGTTGTGCTGCAGCAGGCTAATATCACTGCATTCATTTCTGTGTGTGGGCCAACAAATTTTCTGTTCCTATACTTACTGTTCGATAAAACCTTTCAATACAGAACTCACCATTCTGAATGTAAAATTTTGATAAATAAAACTGCTTTAGAATTTTATATTTGAGTTTACTGTAATGAAAAATGATTGAGACTAAGCTTTTGCTAAAGCTTAGTAGTGATGGGAATGAAAGGTAATCTTATTTAAAATCTTATAGAGAAGCTCTAACTCTGTAAATCCTCTCCATCTGTCCACTCTCCACACTCACCCAAACATAGTAAAACATTCACTATCCTTTCCTTATTACACAACTAAGTTGTTATTGGTGGTTGCAATATTTTTTTCTTTCAGTTTTTAGAAAAGACAATTGGCTTGATGCATATTTTCTCACATATGAAACTTCATAAATCTGTGTAATTATGTCTTTTGAGTATGTATTTGGTATTGTTGTAAAATAAATCATTGGTCATAAGTGCACATGTTGGAAGTTGGAACAATGTCAGCCAGAGCAACATATTAAAAAAAGGTAGGTTAAAGTCATAATAATTAGTAAAGAAAAATGCTTTCTTTTAAGTTTTAAAAGAACATTCTAACAATTACAATGGTAATTCTTAGGGTATGCTAGAAGGAGAACAAGAAATAGCTGTGAAGCGGCTATCAAAGAATTCTAGCCAAGGGCTTGACGAGTTCAAGAATGAAGTTATTTGTATTGCCAAACTTCAGCACCGAAATCTCGTGAAGCTTCTAGGATGTTGCATTCAAGGAGAAGAAAAGATGTTGATCTATGAATACATGCCCAACAAAAGCCTGGACTACTTTATTTTTGGTTTGGCTCTCTTGAAACTATAATACCATACCACAACTATTTTTGGTTTGGCTTTCTTTTGATTTATTTGATTATGGGAACAAAATTATATGCGGTTTGTATTACATGTGCATTTGCATGAACTATTGGGTCTTCCAAAATTTGGGATTTTCCATCAAGGAATCTTGTTAAATTCATGCATCCGATTAGCAAGAGCATGGACTAAGGGGTTGTTTGGGAAGTGCTAGATTAATATACTTTTTGACTTTTTACGAAAAAATATAAAATATGGGTTAAGTTTGAAGTGATGTAGTAGAAAAGTGATATGACTTAAATAAGATGATTGTGACCTAAATAGGATAATGTGTTAAAATAGCATGTGCTATTTTAGCACATGCCAAACAACTACTAAATCAGACAAAATTTTGACAGATCTAACCCGAAGCACATTACTGGATTGGCCAAAGCGCTTCCACATTATTAATGGGATTTCTCGGGGTCTTCTTTATCTTCATCAAGATTCCAGGCAGAGAATTATTCACAGAGATCTTAAAGCAAGCAATATTTTGCTGGATATTGACATGAACCCAAAGATATCAGAGTTTGGAATGGCTCGAAGTTTTCGAGGAAATGAGACTGAAGCAAATACAAACAAAGTGGTTAGAACATAGTAAGAATCTATACAACATGTTTTGTTTATTGCTTCAAAATCTAGTTCTTCATTTAACTCTTTTCTGCAGTGGCTACATGTCTCCAGAGTATGCAGTGGATGGATTGTTTTCAGTAAAATTAGATGTATTCAGCTTTGGCGTTTTGGTGTTAGAGATCATGAGTAGGAAGAAAAATAGAGGTTTCTATCATCCAGATCACCACCTCAACCTCCTTGGCCATGTAAGCATACTTAGTTTAGAAGTATTCTTATATTCTGTCTTAAATCTCGCTTTCTTCCCTGTTCCAAAACATTCACAACTGTGCAATTGTGTGAGCATCTGTTCACGCATGTGTTAGGGAAAATATGTGATTCCCCACAAGTAAATCAATCAATGGGAATAAAAACTAATGCGGAAAAATTAAATCAAAGGCAACACAAGAATTTTTACGTGGTTCCCTCAATGTGAGGTACGTCCACGGGATCGAAATCCGATTCCACTATCAACCAAATAATTCCAAACGATTACAAACGAGACACTAATGGTCTCACAAAACACCCTTAGGTGAATTCCAAATAATCACAAATAAACAAAGAGGAAAGACCTCACCAAATAGAAGAACCAAAATCTTCAGAACCAGAGTTGTAGAAGATCCAAAATAACGAACCAAATCAGAACCGAAAATTGAACCAAACTTCTTCACAAATCAAAGCACCAATTTTTGATTGACCAAGTCAAATCAAGAATTACAAACAATACCAATTGAAGCAAAGCACCAAAGCTGCTGCCGCTCACGTTTTTCTTCGGGAAAAACAATACCCCCAATATGTATTGTGAATCTAGGGTTTTGTAATCAAACCCAAATTGTTTTCAAATTGGATTAGGTCTCCACAAAATTAGATATAATATATAAAAATATATTATAACTAATACCAAACTAAATTAAACTCTTTTAATAAACCAATTGGGTCCCACACTCCAATAAGGAGGTATACCCAACAATCCTCCCCCTACCGACTTAGGTGGAGAAATCAACCATACCCGCCAAAGTTCGACACTTCAAATGTTTGTCCCTCGACAAAGTCTTAGTCAACATATC